TAAAAATATATTGCTATGACGTTATACATTTTTCTTTTATTCTGCTGATTCGCTAATGGCTAATGTAATCAATGCAAAGTAATCGCTGGTGTCCTTGCAATAATTGTTCAGGTTATTAATTGCTGTGAGGGTTTTGTTATTTTAATTTGATGTAGTTTTAAAATGATGAATAGAGTTTGTAGGCGTCATAAAATAGCGTTCTTGTGAACAACAAGAAAAGCAAAACAAATGGCTTTTCAAAACCTGCTATGTTAGTTCGTTTGTAAAGCTATTAATTTTTTAGCTGATATTCACAAACTTTTCTGGTACTTGTACATTCTTTCTCTTAGTTCTTCTTCTTCCCGTCATTCTATTTAAGCCTTTTTAAGAAGGTGTTTTAATTTTTATACTACTTTGTAAAATTGGTCTTTCCTGGCCCTCTTTGGGACCATCTCTATAGGGCTTCAAATGAAGACGGGTTTTCATGATTTTTTTTACTGGAAACTTCCAGCTTGCGGCGGTTGGAAAGATTTAAGCCGGATTTCTCTCCTCAAGTGCGTCATTTCGCGTCTCCCATTTTCGCAGGGCTCAATGAACTCGTTGTTTGCGAGGAAAGTTGAAATGAGAACGGCCCACGTTGTTTTTCTTCCTCCTACTCTTCGTGTTCAGCCGCTTTTACAATTCGCGTGTTCCCGTTCTTCAAACTTGTTTATAATACTATAAAACACAATCGATTCGCTTTTATTTGCCACGGCTTTTCCTCCAAATATGTTTTTTTTTTGTCAAATCTCCTTTTTTTTAATCGAGAGTTTATCGATATGTTTTTGTGATATAACAGGACAAAAATGGAAGAACGGCATCGTTCTGAAGGATAATTCACATTTCCATGCCAAAGGATGCTAATTTTACTCTTTACATTTATTTATCAGACTTGATTTTTATGATATTTTCTCATTCAAGAGAACATAACTTATTTATGGTAAATTAGTCAAGTAGTCAACAAATCTAATTAACTTTCAAGATTGAGTCTAGGATTTGACGGTACTTAAGCACTTTATACGTTACAGTTTCGAAACCTTTCGTTTTTGGCATTGAGGTTTTTACCACCGCTCTTTCAGGTTAACTCAAATATTTTTGAACCATTTTAAATTGTTAAGACACTTCTTAAAGCTCTTAATGTTGATGTTCAGACAAGCTGAGAGCCGTCGTGGGCAACTCAGGCGCCGTCATGGACGGTGACGCAGGAACCTTGTGCACTCCTTTTACACACAGCTGCTTTAATCGAAAGAGATCTAACTATCTTCTATTTCGAATTACGTCCTTCAAGGTTACGTCCAAAGTCCTTGAGTTACATGTTCAAAAACAAGTAAAACGAGGCAAACTCAATTTTAAACTTGGAGCTTTCTCTTCGAATAAAAGTAATAAAGTAAAATAAAGTGAAGTTTTTTCCCCTCTTCAACGGAGAATAACAAATTACAACTGTTTTGTATATATTTGAGTATATTTTCCCTGGCATGTATTCGTAATAAAAAAAAAAGATTATCCTCAAATGAAGTTATAAACAGGCAATTTCAAATTTAAATGTTTATCGTAACTTATTTAATTATGAAGCCTTAGTTGGTTTGCGATTTGTTAAATTGTGGTTATAAAACATTTAGATTTTTGATCACCAAGCGTTGAACGAATAAGCATGATCTAAATCATGATCAGGCAGATTTCCTACATGACAAATAGAAGAAGATATCACTCGAGAAAAAAGTAGTTTATCGGCGGACCGAATATCAAGGGCACCCAAACATCGCAGACAAGATTTCTTTTTTTAACAGTAAATCAAAATTGACAATCACTGGAAAATTGGTTCATCATCCACGGACATTCAACGCTCAATTTTGTTTTCTTGGACAGCCAAGGCCGCAGGTTTAAGCGGATGATTTTGTATTACAACCATTTTTTTTCCCACTCTGATGATTTTCCACTTAGTAACAACATTGACCGATTTTTCTAACTTATATTTATTTGGTTAGTAAATATTTATGATAATTTTTTCAAAGAATGATTGATGAAAACAATTATCGCTGAACATCGGTTTTAAGAAAAATTACTAGACATTTTAACATAGAGTAAACACTTAAACCTTATAAGGCAAAATTTGCCATTCGATGATCTAATTTTTTCTGTTATGCACTAGAATAGAAAAAAAAGAATAGTAAAAAGAAATTCTATTCAATGTAAATGTTACGGTCACGTTTGCTGAGTTTGTATGCAAAATATTCAGTGAGTCACTATTTTTGTTCACGGATTTGGCCAGGACGATGACAACTTATCATTACTGACTGGCTTGTATAAAGTACAATTCTTATTGTTTATTGCAGGTCACAGCGGTAAGATTTTGTATCTTTGAGATTGTCTGGATGTTTTTATATGTTACACGAACAGTGGAAGATGTATTGATTTCACAGCGTTCTGACTTTTTATTGACCATTTGTCCAAAATTGACAAATTCCGATAAACTAGTTCAACATTAAGTCAAACCGATATTGTTTTTAATTCGATAATTAACTACGTGGGATAGAAGATGCAAATTTCAAATAGCGGAGGATGTTAATGATCGTTGCGACTAATTTTCGTATCTCAATTAAGGTGGAATAGAAGCCTTCTAGGTTGAAAACAAATTATGTATTTTTTATTTTTTAAAGTTATTATTAACCGACCCTGATGTATAATTAGGGAATTTCAAATGTGCGCAGATTTAAAATACATACATTCTCTGTTCGTCGAATCATCAAATTATCTGCATTTTTAAACGATAAGACACCTTTGATTATCCTTGCAGGTTTTTCTCGTTTCAACAGTCGTAAATAATTTTTTATTATATTTATTCCATTTTGCGATAAAAATGCAGTAGCGATATCGTAGAATGATCTAAAAAATAATAATTCACAACAAAACCTAACATACATGTTATAATACATAATACAATTCAGTATAATGTCAATTATAATTTTCATAATTAAATTTATGGCTTTAAAATTAATATTTCTCTTGTCTAAGCCTTTCTGTACCTAAAATTTACAGAAAGCTTACTGTCCTGATCGAAATTTAGGTTCAGTAAATTTCATATTTATTCACAACTCATAACTTCATTCTTCCTCTTGTAAAAATTCTTTTAAAATTTTAAGTTTTCAAGGGCAATTAAGTAATTCAATTTCGTTACTTTATTAATATAACAATATGTATAATTTTATTTTGAAATTACACTTTTTTTTTCTTCTCGAAAGCTTAGAACATTTTTGTTACGTGGATGTTACTTGTCAGCCTGCTCAGCATTCCAATCGTGGAATATTTTCATTCCTTCATTTTTAAGTCCAATTAAGAGAATTAATGCCCAAAATGATTTAATGTAGGTTTACATTTTCCAACATCCTTCTATTCTTTTGAATATGCCGCTGAAATGCCATGAACTAATTAGGCTAGAGTGTTCTTTAATTGACGAAAAAGGAAAAAATTATCGGGCCTAGAAAATAACCTTGTGCTACATTGTTCAAGATAAATCTTCACTTCTCATCCGTACACTGGGTCAAATAAGCTGAATCTCGGTTTTCTCAAGTTTTTAATAATTATTTTATATTAAATGTAAAATACGTAATTAATGGATAATGTAACTGATTATATCGGATGTATTAAGCGTTTTTTTTAATCAGAGGTTAGAGATTTTTGTTAATTACTATTCAGTCTATAAAACAAGGGCACACAATTTATTTTTGACAAAAGAGTTTGAAAATTAGCTACTTTAAGTAGTAGAAATGACTGCTCCTTTATAGAAGTACGACAGCTGGAAGACTTTGAATTTGTAGGGACGTTTTTTGTGAAAAAAAAAAGCTACGTTTCAGCATCTATATTGTCATTGTTATAATTATTTCATTATTTTTTTATAGTACACCATAATAAAATTATCTTGAATTTAAAATGTTTATGTAGGGTTCCAATCTTCGTACAGGTTAGACGGGTGAAAAAAGACTAAATGCTGGGTTCACCGAGCTTTCGGCACTTTATAGTGCCATCATCAGGGCCTATTTTATTACAAATTCAAATAAATACACAGTGACATAACAATTAATGTAATAAAATGATATACATACTTTCCCAAGGATGAGGTAAACTATTAACGCAAACACCGGTTTTAATCGTCGAAATGTATTATACTGTCCATGTGCTCCATATCCTTAAACCCAAAACATTTGTACAATAGTTTTTCATGTTAATCGTTTTCGTCATCCTTAGGAAAGTGCGTACTTCATTTTATTACATTAATCGTTATGTTACTGTGTATTTATTTGAATTTGTAATAAAATAGGCCCTGATGATGGCACTATAAGGCGCCGAAAGCTCGGTGAACCCAGCATTTAGTCTTTTTTCACCAGTATTATTTATAATGACCCATACGAAGATTGGAACCCTACATAGATTAGATGCTGGTCGATCAACGAACATCATATCTTCATTAAAATGTTTATGCCATTGCAATGGACACAGAATATTAAGTTTTTTATAACCTCCAAAGAAAATAAATTAAAAAAAAAATGGAATATGAAAATAAAATTGAATTTGCGTAACTATGGTGGTGTGGCTTTGTATATTTTATAATATACGAAAACCCAGAATCCGGCTTTCATTGGCCTCATACTTGCTCCTCTCCGTTGGTATGTGGCAGAAAACTTTGTTTTTGTATGTTTCCTCTGTTTTGATAGAATTTATTTAAACATATTTTAGAAGTTTTTAATATATTTGCTAGACTGTCTTATTTTATTAAAAACAAGTTCGTTATCGCGAAGTGTATGAAATAATTTTGTTTTGTTAAATACGCTCCATTGCCAGTGGGTTTATTATTGACCGGAATCGATTCAAAATTAAGTGAATTTGTCAAATTAAATAAATGTACGAGGTAGAGGGGCATTGAGAAGGTCTAGTGGGGCAAGGTATAGCGTTGGGAAGAGGTAGGCGTGGTCAGTCCTGAGTTCAGTCAGTCTTGATCAGCGATGGCAGCAGCCGTGAGAAGATTGGACGCTCTTTTCAGAGATTTGAAGTTCGACGATTCACGACGGTACTCGGTGCCGGCGGAGATCATCGAGGTGACGACCCAGGTTGACAAGAACTGCGACGTCCACGGTGGTCGCCGCGGTTCGTCCGGCAGCGTCGTCATTCACCGGCGTGGATCCGTTTCAGTTCCTACGACCGAAGGGATGCCGCCGGCGGCGTGTCTCCGCCGTCGGGATTCTCTCGTCCTCGGGGGCGGCAGCGCGTCCGTTCTATGCCATCCGTCGTCTTTTCCGAGCACCCTCCGCAAAGACTCTCTCAGCCCGGTCCCTCACCAGCAAAGGAGGGATTCCCTTTCGAGGAGGAGATTCTCGACGGATTCCTTGGAGGGACTGAGGAGGAACTCGTGGGATCCGAGCAGACGAGGTTCTTCTGGGTCCTCCGTTGGATGTGACGATCCTATCTTGGAAGAGCCGAACACAAAGCCGAAGGTATGACAATCCGGACGACCGTGACTAACCGATCCCTTTTCAAAACAGGATTCACCGCATTCGCCTTAACCGTTTCAACACGATTGACAACTATTAATTACGAAATGAAAGCATCTAGTGTGAAAAACCTGTCTCTTTCCCTTATAAGAAGTTAGTAGTGTTACATATTCCAGTACTAACTAATGACTACTGACTAATGCACGTAACTAGCAATATTAGTTATCCAAATGAAAGTCCACAAATATATACTGCTGTAACATGGATTCAATGCTATTTAAAAGCCTCATGCTAAAACACCTTCTTTTTTAACATCACAAAACATTATAATTCATGATTATTTAGAGATTGTGGGTTTAGAAAAATGTTTTCTTTATCGTTCACGTTTCGATCTTTATTGACATCATTTTCAGACTTAAAGTGAATGTTTTCTGTGTAGATGTGTCATTGTTGTGTGTCACTAACGATCACTGAACACCACACATTTCTTTGCGTTATAATTCATGAAATTTGGCTTGAAATTAACATTTTTCTTTCAACTAAGTGGGTGTATGCAAAAATGGCATTGTAAAACATGAAAAGTCGATCCAGATGTACGTATAAAACAATGATAAAATATTCAGACAAAAATCACATAACTAACGGAAATACTATTTATAGTTTCGAATAAAATTCATAATTAACAGTGCTCAAGGAATTTTGTCTTTTTTAACATAAGCCAACAATTAATCATTATAATTTAGTTGTTTCCGATAATTTTAGTCTATCTATCCTCGCTCTTTCGATAAGATAGACGCGTTTAGTGAAGTTTTTTCAATGGTACTTAATTATTCATTTTAAAACTTGGTACTGATATGGTTTCTGAGCACTTTTACTAAGAGGTTGAACTAGACATTCAATTTTGAAGTGGCAAAGTTTGTATAAAAGCTATAAACATAGAAATTCAGCTAGACACAATTATGTTATTGTAACAGATGCTTTCCATTGCGGTTTCATAATGGACAAAATTTTGGTTTTGTCTAATGTTAAAATAGTCGTTGATCCAGATCTAATATAAAACGTTAATATAAAACATTAAAAAAAAGAAAATTACTTGCAACTTAGAAAATGTGTTCAAAGCCAATTCAATAGAAAACTGTATGACTCCAATGAAAATCATTGGATTGACATTAGTTAATTAATTTTAATTTGTAGTGTTTATAGATAAATGTGTTGTAAAAATGTAATATTGACTTTTTCAAACTTCCCTCAAGGATTTTGTAAAACAGAATATTTGAAAAAATTACGAGGTTCTGAGAAGGAATATAACTAAGAATTTATTACAAACTAAGCATTTATAAGTGTCTATGCATTTTGTAAAAACGTACAAATGCGGACATAAAAATTCATATTGGACTTATACATGCTTGAAAACAAAATTTTCTCTGAGGATCGTTAATTTTTGAAATTACAAAAAATTTTGATTTTGGCTAGTGTGTTTGTATGTAAATAGTAGCAAGGTGGTCAATACAGATTTTAGTCAATAAATTCAAGCTTAGGTTTAAACCTGAATTTGTCTTGTTGCAAAAGTTAACAGTATGCAAACTGAAATTTGGCAATTTCTGATTGTTTTGGTTTGTCATTGTTTTCAAGCTGGTTTTCTACTGATGAAAAGTGAACAGATAGATTTTAGATTGGTCGTTTCCGATCATCTTGGTCATCATGCTCTTTCTGGTACGTTCGACCTTGCCATCTTCCGTGTCTATATAATAATAATGTCTAGAATAAAAAAGATAACACTAAAGCAGATGTGAGGAATCTAGTTCATCCTTAAAAAAGACACGACTCAATAATACACACAGAAACGATTGAAAATGGTAAAATGCCAAACCCCGTCAGAACAACGATGATGATTAGCAACGATCTAACCAGAGAGATGTGAGACCGAAAAGTCTCACAAACATATTTTAGTAGTCTTGTTTTATATTTTATTCTAGGGTGTTGTAACAAACCAAATGTTTAGTTTTCTATTAAAAAGACAACTTATAATAAATATTGGCGCGCACTGTTTTCCCTCCAAATAATTTCTGTTGATGGCACAATACATTTCTGTATTCGACTGTTTTTCTACACGAAGGTTTTATCAATTATTTCCCACGAATCGTCACTAGCCTTGTGTCGTAAAACCATGAAAATTATCGTTACACCAGATTTTTAAGGTTGTTTAAATCGATCGGTTTCGTAACCCCTAGGTCTTTTGGTCAATTGGTCATGGGGGTGAAAACTTTCGCTTTCTTAGGTTCATTAAGCATTCACCGGGTTACAACGTAGATTCGTAACTGCCTACTCAAATTGTGTTGTGTTGCAATTTGAAATTGTCCGATTATAATACTTTATATCGATATTGAGAATAAGAAGAAATGGGATTACAAAGCCGATATCGTATTGGAACTTTAATTTAGGTTTTATTCCTAAGCACGAATAATTTTTTCCTGATTGATGTAATTTGACCGATAATACAATTTATAACTGGTTATTCTATTTAGATTATTCTATTCAAATGATCAACTAATAGAACAGATCAAATCTTAACAGTAGATGAAACAATTGAATGACTAGTGATATAACGTTAATAATAGTCCATACTCTCGTATTCAGGGTTTTGTATTGTTTGCTATGATATATTGCACATGAAATTGTATTGTATCAATAAAAGTAGAGGAAAATTACATTTCTTTTCATTAATCATTCAGAGGTGGCTCTGTCATTTTCTGTAACAACTCGTACAACTTTAATCGAGAGAGGCAGATCTTGCCGGTTTGAATTAAGGCTCGGGTTATTTATTTTGCCTGTCTCTGAATCATGTTACGTTTTCCATTTGATATCTCTTCTTTTTTTCTTCTTCCACTGGCACTGTCCAAAAAAGGCAACGACCTTCCGATACTTCCACCTGACCATGACAGTCCGTCCTCGCCGTTTATGCCGTTCTTCTGTTTATTTCAAATCGCTAATGTAAAAACATTGCTAACGTTGAATCGGAAATTTGAGAATTTGAGATCACTAGAAAATCCCTCAAGATCAATCTGTAATGTAATTTTAAATAATATACAGAAAGGTAAGGTGGGACGTAAGGAATAACTTCATAGTGATGATTATCTATCAATAAAACTTAAGTTTTTTAATAAAAATTTTTTAAAAATAAATCTTTATGTAAGGTATTGGTTGAAATGAAAAAGCCAGTGTCACGAGCGGGATTCGAACCCACGACCTTCGGCTAAATACGCCGCTGCTCTACCACTTGAGCTAACGCGACTTCGATCCATTCGGACACCACTTCCCATCCAATTTTCCCTCCTTTCTGCCATTTTTCAATTAATTGAAAGAAGTTATTTGGTCAATCGGACTTAAAAAAATCTTTGTTATATCAGTAATGACTTCTTAGTTTACAAAATGCTGATTTTTAGTGTTGTACTTAAAAAGAGTGTTTAAAGCGTTTACAATCAAATTACATTTTTTTTAAATTGTTTTAAAAACTGAACTTAAGTATGATCAAAAGATATTCCATCACGTCCAAGTGTGCTTAATAAAGTAATTAATAAAACAAACCCACTTCTGAAGAAATGTCAGATTATTGCTGATCCTCTCTGAATATCCTGGTCTTCCGTCGCCTGTCTTCATTTTGTCATGTGCAGTATTTTTATTCTGACAGGACAAAGAAAATATCGGCGTGCTTCTTTCATTTATTGACGTGTAGAAGGGACTAAATTGACAAAATAACGCACAGAACATGAGGCATCTGACAAAAAAACCATGGCCATGCTAGGATGATCCTTTACGCCGCCAAGCTACAAAATAAATTGTTACAAATGTTATTTATAACGTACTTCAGCTTTTAAAAACAAGTAATTCGATATTTTAAGATATTGTTTTGTTCCTCAAAGCGGTTTTATTACTTCAGGATGAGTCAGTCCGTCCTTGGGGAACAAATGTCAGACTTGTGGGATGGTATGCTTCTTTCGTTTTGCCGGCGATGCTCCTATTATGGGCGAAGTAGGAAGCTGCCGACTACTTGAAAACAGGTTGTGACTCAGCATGCCGTTTGATAAAAGTGTGTCAGTGTCGCTCGATATTTTTTTTACAACCGGTTTGATTTAGGTTTAAAAGCCACGAACCCTCCAGTGAAAGCATGAGCTTCCCAGGTTTAGAAAACGTCGATTCACCGCGAATCATAATCGCCCGATTGGCGGATAGCTTTTATTGAAAAAATGCATTAAACGAATGAGAATTTGTCGAGTTTCGTTTTCTACCTTAACCAAAAAGTAATCGAGGTTGATGGAATTGGACGTTTCTTTACGCATTTTTCCACAATTTGGTCAACCTTGGAGACAATTCAATATCCAGCGATTTCCTTGCTTTGTCTCAGTTTGGTCAACTTCCCTGGATGTGACCTTTTGACCGTAGAAAGTCGTAAAGCAGGTAAAGGTCATGTAAGGTGCAAGAACTCCCATGGAATTCCGTAAGATGCCGGCTCTTTTACTAGGCGAATTTGTTTCTTCCTCTTATAAATAATTTATTTAAATAATTCAACAGCCTCAGTAATTGACCGTAATATTAAAGTAATAATGTTTCAGCTAGTGCTAGTTCTTATTTTCTTTGAGAACATTGTTTTTTGAGATGGATTGGTCTTTTGCATTGGGGGGCGTCCGTGCCCGTAATGGTTTAGGCGTTAGCACGGCGTTCATTTCGCTGTAAGGTAAAGGTCCCGGGTTCGAATCCAGCAGCCCTCCATTCGAACCTGACATACTTAAAAATGGGCTTTTTTTTTCAAAAACACCGGCACCCTGAGGGTTGACCTCTGCTCTTGCGAACCCTCGTTAATAAAAAATAAAAAAATAAAAGGTTTTTGACAGGATGTTGGGCTAAAGATTAAATTACGGCAAAACGTTATTCAGGTTGATGCATTGGATTAACCGTTTCTATAGTCAATTATTCATTATTTGGGCTACTCTTTTCACTAGTAAAAC